GGGAGATGAGAAACTTCTAACAGCTGCCGTCTGAGCAGTCACTATGGCTAGGCTCACGGCACACTGAAAACGAGAACTCGGAGGGCGTCCCTCCTCTCCGGGCACAGGAGGAAGTGAGGCAGCTGGCCCAGGCGCACCGGCAGCAGGTGGAGGAGCTGGCATTTAAGCCCATGCTTGTCGAGTCCCTAAGCCCGCGTCCTTACCCCCTCCCGCACTGCCTCTCAGACCCGGAGCCCCAGCCGGACCAGTAGCTACTAAAACTGCCCCCAAGTATTCCTCCCTGAGGGAGTGAAGAGAAAAGGACCTCCACGAGAGCTGAGGTCCCAGAGCAGCCGCCTCCTCGGGCGCCCTCTGTGAAGCCAGCCTGCTCTCCTGGCCTGAGGACCACGGCCCCTTCTCCCCCCGCCACTCACCCGTGTGCGGTGAGGGCCCCACCCAGCAGGTGCAGCGGACAGCAACCGATACGGGCCGACTCCTCCCCCCCAGTTACCTGATCGTCCGACACTTCCACGCAGCGGATGGAGAAAGGAGGCTTGAGGTAGGCGAATCCCAGGAGCGGAGGCCTGGAGCAGCTGGTCACAAACTACAACACAAGGCAGGGTCAGGGACAGAGAAGGGCTGACCAAGGCCTGTCGTTAGGGGGAGATGATGCAGTGAGAGCTCCGGAGAGGACGGGAGAGGGAGAAGCTGGTTGGCCAGTAAGGGTGGCAGGGGGAGGCCTGGAGCCAGGGTGCAGGGAGCACAGGTGCGGGTCACACCACAATGACGGCTTCCTTCTCAGCTGACCCAGGCAGCAGATCCTATTTAGAAGCACTGTCTGGAGTTCTTCACAAACCCACCTCATCTCATCACTCCATGGGGACTGTGTGACTTGATCAGTTTTAAGGATGAGGAGGCACAGGCAGAAGAGTCTGTGCCCTGCCCAGCTCCAGCTCCACAGGCCTGCTGCCAGCCAGGGCTGGTCCAAGGAGGCAGGGGTGGTCACCCTTCTGGCACTGAGGACAATCAGAGGGCGGGGAAGCCGCACC